TATATGTCTGATCAAACTATACGTGCAGGTGGCAGAAATGTATACAACCAGTTGAAGGGCTTCTATGCAATAAATCACAGTAGGCGATAAGTGGTTCATAAATTGCCCAGCAGTGCAGTGCTGCAGTGCGGAATTTGGTGTGAATCAGGCAATTTTAATTTATTATAGGCACCTTCTATCAATCATTCATATTACAATTGCGAAAGGGAGGGATACGAGGGATATTTTGTTTACTAATATTATCACAACATGGCATTTTGGAGACCTTTTGAAACGGAATAAAACGAAATTTACCACCAATATAATAAAAATTTTTGAGGACATAAATAATTAAAATATGTTGTTGGCCAAATGAACATAGGTATAATAGAAATTTTCTACACATTATATACAAATTATTATAATTTTTTACCTTTAGCAGAAAATTTTTTTAGGGACGCCTATGAAACTCATTAAATCTTATTACCAGACGTTTTTTGCAAATTCTACTAATTTCGAAAGGACTATACCTACTTTCGTTTGAAAGTGCTTCTATTTGAACACAAACTCCTTCCAACGACATCTGTTAGTAGATATGCCCCAAGTAATCATTTTGTAACAAAAAAAAATTATACAGGCATAAACATGTTTCCTCTTATTCTAGAAGGTTCAAAGCATATTTTAAATCAATAAAAAAAAGATTTACTGAAAATTATACAGTGGTGTATGAGTTTCATTTTGTCGAATTTTACATAAAATTCAAAGCATCTCCGTAACAAGTTGTATCAAATATTACAGCCCCCGTATTATAACGTTATTTCGTCACTTAATCGATTTGACTCCTAAGGGTGTAATTAGTACCGTTGAAACCAAAGAAATTAATATCTAACGACGCATTACGTCTACTTCAGTGGAATTCTACGAGCGAAAATAAATGATGCTCTAATGTGCGTGTGAAGTAATGCGAATAGCAGCGTTACGTAAATGACAAAACCTATTTTTTCACTAAAGTCTGCAATATACACTGGAAGGCCCTACTGTCCTCCCTATATACAGCGGGCTCCGCATAGTTCCATGTTCCTAAATGAGATTCCTTCTAACCCACAACCAGGAACACTGCGGTCGACCTACACGCCCCATCAAATTACATTTTCCCGCAAGCCGAAAAGCGTCGGAAGCGTCTCAGCCTGCAGAGGCCGTTCTCTTGCTCTTGTAGCTTTTAAGTTTGCCAGTAATTCATTTATTTATCTTTTATTATGTCGGTCGATAGCCGCACGGTTTAAGGCGTCAGTACTTAAATCGATGTGTGCTATCTGCCCGGGTTTCGAATCCCGCCGCAGTAGACCGTAGATTAGCTATGCTTGTACGGAGGATTGGCACCCTCTGTGCAGGTATGGTGGGGTGGAAGAATGTTGGCTTGGGCCAATGTGAGAGATTGACACCGGTTAGCATTTGACCACCCCCTAATTAATGAGGCTTTCCAGGTTTCCCTCATTCCTGCACTGAATGGTGGTTAGGGTCTATCAACATAAGTCGTTCCTGGGCGCAAATGCGGCCTGTTTAATAATAATATGCCGCCTCCTCTCCCGCATAAGTTTCCGACTTCTGGGCTAATTCTCGTAGTTAGAATGAGAAGTAGAGATATTATTATTATTATTATTACCTCATTTTTAATTATCCAAGAACGTTAGGGAGCACTGTTCAATGGTATGGCATTATTTCTGGTATGGTAGTATACGTAGAATATTATATTCACGTGTACCAACTTATTCGTCTTATGTTTACATTTTCTCATTGTTAAATAGAAATATTTGTCAATGTTACTTTACTGCTACGAGTATTGCTGTATTATTTTAAATAAAATAACATTGTAGAATTACAGAAAACACTCAAATCTTCAAAATGTCAATGGTGTGAATATTATTATTTTTAAAATAATTAGATTCTATCGCCTACACTAAGATTTTTAATCGTTCCAAGATTGAGACAAAGAAAACATCCTATTAGTAACATATTTGAAACAAAAATGGAAAAAAAATTTTTTTTCTTCGAACATATAACATATAAGCGACAACTTATGTAACGTTACACAATAATATTAAGTGTCATTTATATGCCTAGGAGTATACAGGGTCGGAAAGTCCCCATGGTTCATCCGCCGTTACGTGAGGGCGATAAAGTAAGTCTTAGAAATCCGTGCGATAAAGAAAGATGTCTATAACGAAGGCGTCTAATAGTCACCGCCCATTTCGCCCTTCCACAAATAAGAAGTGGATCTTATTTGTGGAAGGGCGAAATGGGCGGTGACTATTAGACGGCTTCATTATATATATCTTTCTCTATCGCACGGATTTCTATGATTTTCTTTATCGCTCTCATGTAACGGCCGATGAACCATGGGGACTTTCCGACCCTGTAAATAAGTACTTACACTTCAAAGCGTACCTATAAACACATTATGGTAATATGAATTCAATTTTAATAATGAACATTTATTTTTTCATATTTATTATTTATTATTAATATTTATAGTAAAAGCACAATTATGAAGACTTGCATCATTTAAGGATCCTCCACTTCTTGCGATATCAGTACTCATAACAATATTTCTTAGTCACTGTCAACCGACATGACTATAAATTTTAAATATTTGTTTTGATAGATGCAAGTACGTATCTATGGTAATGATAAGTAAATATATATATATATATATATATATATATATATACAGGGTGTTCGGTAAGTCGATGCATTCCTTGCAGGAGATTATAGTACAAGTGATTTGTGATATATTTCCTTAATATACCATATTCCGATTGATCTACAGGGTGATAAAAGTTTTAATAAAAAAATGCAAAATAATTGTTATTTTAAGAAAAACCAATGGCGTATCATTTTTTTCTTTAAATATATCCAAAGACGTGCATGTGCGCATGCCGCTGGTGAAACTAAAAACAATATTTTTATCGTAAAACATGTACTGTTGTCAATTTTCAAAGCTTGTAAAATTTCATTAAAATATTCCGATCGGTTTCCGCAATATTTATAAATTTGCATTTTTCACACTCACTACGTTCGTCAGACAAACTTTTTCCATGCTTAACACATAAAGTATCACTTATTCTCCTAACATCATAATACACTAATGGAAAAAATTAAGGGATCAAAAAAAAAATCTAAATTTTCGACGATTTTTCAAATGACTGTATTTTTGATAAAAAATGGTCGTATTGGAGTAAAAAAAAAGCAATTTGAAGCTTGAAGTTTCTAATTTTTGGATCTTGCGAAAAACACACATTAGCGTTACCCAAAGCGTACCACGTGAAGGTTGCAAGGTCGGATTTACGCTTCTTTTACACACGTGCGAAAAGCGTTTGAAGTTATGAAAAACAAATATTTTTTTTAATTTTTTTGAAAAATTTTTTCGTTGGATTCACTACTGAAAATTTATCTCATTAATCCTCAAGCATTTTCGGCACAATTCTCCTACTTCATTTCGTGATTATGCTGACCGAATTTTAATTAAATTTAAAAAAGTTGATACCCTTAACCGAATATTGACCTCGATCTACATCCTTTTCAGAGAATATTGTTGTGATACTTCTGAATTCATAAAACGCTTTTTCCGAATTTACAGAACACTAAAACACACAGTTTTTTCAAACCACCTTTTTTTCAGTAGAAAAAAAAATTTGAATAAAAAAAAATTTTTTTTGTCATAACTGTAAACGCTTTTCGCACGTGTCTAAAAGAAGCATAAATCCGACCTTGCAACCTCCACGTGGTACGCTTTGGGTAACGCTAATGCCAGCGGTTTTGCGAAATTTGTGAAAATCGGCTCAAAAAAATTTATTTTCGAAAAAAAATTTCAAAAAAAATTTTTTATAATTTCAAACGCTTTTTACAATAAGAATGTAAAAAAATCAGGAAAAAAATTTTATTTTTATTTTTTTACAGATTATGAGCAACGTGATCCTTTAATTTTTTAAAAAATTCAATCGAATGAAAAAAAACGGCTGGATGGATCGAATTGAAACTCTGTAGGGCTTTTAGGGGTACAATGACCTGTAGAAGGCATACTTAACATTAGTCATTTTCCCAATATTCTCAATGTGGCACGTGATTTTCTAGAAGACCCCTAAAAGTCCTATTTTTTACGATTTTTCAGATTTCAGATTTTCAGGATAAAATTTTTTTGTTTCTAAAAAACCTTGCCAGGACTTTGTAGAGAATTCGTTCAAGTTTCTGAAACCCACCGTCGATTTTCTGTGCAACCATTGGTTTCTGAGATATCGATGAACAAAGAGAAAATGATCCATTTTCATTCAAAGTCCGATAGCTCAACGAGAAATGGTGGTATCGAGACCAAAAAAAAAAAAAGAGATTGAAGCTAAGTGAACAACCTATCTAATCCATAAGGTGGTTAAGTTGGAAAAATTTTTTTCAAGTTCGTACACCAGAAATAAGATGGAAAAAAAATTCGATCATTTTTTTTTTCATGATATTCATTAAGATTGCGCGATACGTGTTACTCGAAAAAAATTTTTTTGCCAGATCCAAAAATTAGAAACTTCAAGCTTCAAATTGCTTTTTTTTTTACTCCAATACGACCATTTTTATCAAAGATACAGCCATTTGAAAAATCGCCAAAGATTTAGATTTTTTTTTGATCCCTTAATTTTTTCCACTAGTAAAGTAATTTGAAGAATCGTTCCCCGAAATACTTCAAACCACTTAAGAATCACCCTGAATATGTAGCTCATCATGAAACGCCAGTTTATTTTACTGAACAAAGCTTTAAAAAAGTTTAATGTTTAAATTAATTCGCTTTTAAAACGAGCCTCCCGAGTGTTTCTTTCGCACATCCCCATTTCTATTTCTGGATTTGCAAATGGAATTACCGGACACTTCTATTAACACCACACCACGTAACGGAAGTTTCCGGTAGACCGCAGCCTTTCTACCCTTTTAAGTTTTAAGTACCCCCGCAATCCCTTAATTTAGCATATTTTCGTTTCCAGGACTCGGGCACCTTGCGGAGAGGCGGGGTGCGGAGATGGACCAGCCTGAAGCAACACCCCAAGTTCGGTACGGAGCCCCTGAGCGAGACGACGGGCACGAGTACCTCGCTGTCGACGCCTTCGTCGACGGCCAACACCAGCCCTCTGCCCGCCACCAGCACGGGAGGCGGCGGCGAGGTCGCTAGGAAGAGCAACTGGCAGGTCATCGAGCACTTCAGCTCCAAGGATAAGGGCAGTCTGTCTTCTAGTCTAATTGCCGTAAGTAAAGAATAAACCGTATTTTTGCCTTTTTTTTTCTGGTAATAAAGTGGTAACAGCTTAATTCTGTTGACCCTTGAAGCTATTGATAGACACAGTTTCAGTTGGTGTAACGTTAGACCAGGAAAATTAGCGAAAAAAAAAGAGAAACTCGAAAAAATTCCTATCCGCGATATTTTCGTAAAATTGTCTAAAGGAACATAATACAAGACATCACTCATCTCGTGAATCAAAAAATTTTATTAGCTAACTTTTCTATTTGAACAAATAATTGAGGAAAACAGTTTTTTCACTTTGCAGGGAAAACCTTCAATTTTAGCGAAAAGTGACAACTTGTAGGGAATAAAATTATCTACAAAATGACACTTGTTAAATTAAAATCGGTTAATAAACAAAAAAGTTATTGAAAAAAAAACAAGAAGTGACAATTTTTTAACTTGTTTAATATCTCGGCTTCTATTCATCGTAGAAACTTCTTTTTTTTTCAAACTGAGGTAACTCGACGAAAAAATAACAATGGGCATATCTACGAATTCATAGAATAGCGCTGAACCCCAGAAAAAATACATCTTTTATATTTAATTATTTTTAATTTACAAAAATGTCTCAAAAATTATTGTTAAACGAAATATTAATTAAAATTTCAATTTCGGAATTATTTTACTATTATTAAATAAATAAATGAAGCTATCGTTCATTTAAAAAGTTATTTTTTTTTACATATTCAGCCAAAGTGAACTTATTTTTTCAATATTTTGTGTTATTTAATTACGATTTAAATGTAAAATTAAAGTAAAAATTTACAAATTATTTTGAAATTATTATTTATTGTTAAAAGATTTAAAAAAGAATAAACTTTATTGAAAAATTCTCAAAATTAAACAAATATTAATAAAAATAATGCGGTCGATAAAATTACAATTTTAACTTCTTGAAAGGCGGTGAATTTGATTCCATATCATTTTCTTCTTCTTTATCATACGAATCTTTGCAACATATCAAAATTAATTAAAAAAATATTAATCACAAACATTTTCAATAATAGATATAATGCAATATAATACAATTTAAAAATTTTTCAATTTTTACGAGATAATAATTTGAAAATAATTTATGAATTTTTATTTTACATTTAAATCGTAATTAAATAGCTAACAAAATATTGAAAAAATTAGTTTACTTTGGCTTAATATGTAAAAAATGACTTTAAATGAACGATAGCTTGATTTATTTATTTAATGATAGTAAAATAATTCCGAAATTGAAATTTTAATGAATATTTCGTTTAACAATAATTTTTGTGACATTTTTGTAAATTAAAAAAAAATTAAATATAAAAGATGCATTTTTTCTGGGGTTCAGGGCTATTCTACGAATTCGTAAATAAGCCCATTGTTATTTTTTCGTCGAGCTACTCCAGTTTAAAAAAAGAAGTTTCTACGATGAATAGAAGTCGAAATATTGCAAAATTTTACAGCGCGCATCAATTTAAACTTTGGATTTCACTTTTCTCGCGCGCGTGACTCGCTTGGACGAGCTTCCCCCACCACCACGCCGGACATTTTTATTTTAATTCTTATCTTGGCTCCTGTTGGTCGTAGAGGGTGCTTTTTTTTAAATTTGTATTTTTCTGCCAGCTATCCACTGAAACTAAATGAGGTGAGGTAGCATAAATAGCAACAATTTTATTCAAATTGTTTATAAGTGAAAAACGCACAATTTTTTAATGCACAATTTGAGAATGTTAATGTCAAAAAAACGCTGATATTTTTTAATAGGTCGCTTAATTACGTCTTTAAGATTACAAGGACGCTTTCAGAATCATGTTTGGTTGAAAATTAACGCCTGTACAGAGGCTTAAAGTTCATAACTTTTGGAGCCTCCGCTATAAACAAATAGAATTGTGCGAAAACTATTGCAACTACAGCGCCCACTTTTGGCACACTTTTGAAGTATGACAAAACCCTCAACTTGTCATAGGTTTTATAAAATTTTAACAATAAATGCGATAGTTATAAACAAATTAAAAAATGGGCACTTTTCATGTTTTTTTGCAATAACTTTTTTGTTTATTAACCGATTTTAATTTAACAAGTCTCATTTTGTAGATAATTTAATTTACTCCCTACAAGCTGTCTGTGAGCCACTTTTCGCTAAAATTGATGGTTTTCCCTGCAAAGTGAAAAAACTGTTTTCCTCACTTATTTGTTTAAATAGAAAAGTTAGCTAATAAAAGTTTTTGACTCA